CGTGGGTACAATAGCTTCACATCACACAAGCCTGAAAGCCTGCGTTCAGATCTCCAGAACCCACACCAAAGCCTAGCACAGCAGCCCAGGCATTTGCAATCCTGGCAAAACCCTGCAGGGAAATAGGAGGCAGAGAAAGGAGAATCTGTACAAATCAGATCTAGCCTGATGTGTGCAACTGCAAAGAGCCTAATGCTAGGCCCAACACCCAAAGGTTGTCTGTCATCTGACTTCCGCGGTGAACTGTGGCACCTGCATGCCCATACTCACACACTCATAAACAAACATGCATATACACACACAGTGAGTATGGTGCACAACATGGAATAAATATTTAGACAAAAACTGCCTGTGGAGGTCAATGTAAACAACTCCATTGTTTGGCCTAAATGGAGCCTGAGCAGACCAAGAACTAGAAGAATGTCACATCTGCAGCAGTCTACATCCCAAGCCAGGTCTATCTCCATGCCTCAGTTTCTCTGGCTTGAACATAACAAATGGAACAAGGAAGCGTCAGTCAGCACACACCAGGTGTAAAGTCAATCTTTTTGCCAAGTTCCAGGCCTAAGCCCAGTGCTTAGCAGCTTTGAGTAGACCCTTGTCTTCATTTGGGCAGATATTCTAGATACTTACAGGACCAGGTACAGAGATCCAATCTTTCCTTCACCTAAATTGTTATGCATAGAGGATTGATTGGTGTGGCCACCAAGAGAAGTGGCCACATCTGAAATAAGACAAAACACCAAAAAAACCCAACCAACCAAACAAAAGCCTTGGCATTAGGGGACAGAGCCTGAAAGCTTACTGGTACCCTTCCTTCAAGATAGTGGGACAGCCCTCAGAGCCGAGGTGGTTCTTCTTGAGGCTTACCAGGCAAGATTCATCCAGCCTTGAAACCACAGACGCGTGAGTCAAAGGAAGCAGATTGACTCAACTCCAATGTCTACCCAGGTGAAATCCCCCATTTTCAAAGAAAAACCCAAGGTCACAGCTGTGACAGTAGCCAATGAGGGGTTTTCCTTGTTGCTACTGGGTCACCTGTTTTTCTTTCTAAGCATCGCCCCCCTAACCCCTGTGTTGACCCTTCTCTTACCTCATGAAGCTTTGAACCAGCAGAATTCTTTTGGGAAACCCAGAGAAAGCCAAGCCGGCTCTTTTCTTTTCCCTGTTTCCCTTTCTTCTTCCCTTTTC